ACGCGGTAACGCTTGCCGCGCGGCGGAAATCCACGCGACAGTCAATCAATATGTTGTTTTTCCGTAAGAGCTAGAAGGTTATTACGGAAAGCAGCATATTGATTGGCTGTTGCGCGAACTTCCGCCGCGCGGCAAATATTACCGCGTCCTGTGTACAGGAGCCCTAATTCCTCATGAATTCTCAATGTGTTCTAGGAATTAAGTTGCGAAGTAATCGCTATAATGAAGTCCTAAGGAATATTTCTAGACGAACTTACTGTAGTTAATTCTTCAAGAATTCTTCGGGTATTCATTTTTCTAATTCTATATCTATTCTTTAAAATGAATTCTCTAGGAACTTTTGTTCATCCCTATGCTATCTGGGATATGAGCGTGTGCTGAGCGCAACATGACATCATTTTTCTATCTGGGTAATATAAAATTATATATGAATTTATATATATAATTATATATGATTATATATATAAGTAAAATGTATAAACATGAATGGACAAACTTGATATATAATAATATATAATTATGTATACTCACATAGCACAGAAGTTTCAAAAAGCTTTCAGAAAGGTTTCAGAAACATTGAACCTTTCTGAGATCTTCCTAAAATCTTTCTGAAAGCTTTTTGAAATTTCTGTGCTGTGTGGGTAATTATATATAATTTTATATAATTGTATATAATTATGTATGAAAAATTTTTTATTGGGAAAACAGCAAATTATAATAAAAACAAGAAATTATGGCTGAAGGGACTAATAAATTGACAGCGCTCGATAATACAAACGAAATTAGTATATATTATATGGTCAGCATATTTATATAAGGTGTATATCAGTTGGACACGGGGCAATTGGACACAGTCCAATCACAAGTCGCTGTTCCAAGGGACCCTACAAATGTCTCTAATCACACGGTGCTGTGATTGGCTGTGTCCAAATGCACCGTGTCCAAGTGCACCGCTCCCTTTATATAGGTTATAACCTATAGGCTACTCTTTGTATCTTATTTATTTATATTAAATTGATTAACTTTTTCGTCTTATGTATTTTTTTCGTTTTTAATAAATACATCGCTGCAATTGCAGTAGCTATATGTCGTCTTCGAACTTTACCTGTAATCGCCACTGTACATCTATAATATTTTATATATCTCGATTATAACACTCCATTTTTATACTTATTGCAGTTTATACAGGAGGTTAAACATGGTGAATTGGATATGGGCGACAGCGAACAGCGTTATAACGCTACTTTGAACTATGCTGAAGTGGGAATAAAACGCTAGCTTTTATTCGTTCCATAAAAAGGATACAGATAATAGCGAACAGCTTTTAAACGCTGCTTTGAACAACAATGAAGTAAGGTGAAACGCCAGCTTTTATTCGCTGCGTGAAATCGCACCTTAAAGGTGCCAATACATGGAGCGTTTCAGCGTCGAGCGTTAAAGCGTTAGCCAATCAACGTATCAGGTCCCAGAAGTATACTTGTAGTTCTTGCGGAAAGTGGCACGTTGATTGGCTACCGCTTTAACGCTCGACGCTCGATGATCCCATGTAAAGGCACCTTAAAGATACCTTTGGGAGCATCGAGCGTCGAGCGTTATGGCTCCTGAACGCGGTAATGCTTGTCGCGCGGCGGAAGTTCGCCAATCAATATGTTGTTTTTCCGTAAGAACTAGAAAGTTATTACGGAAAGCAGCATATTGATTGGCTGTTGTGCGAATTTCCGCCGCG